GAAGGTTCTTATTTCATGAGTTCCTAAGCAAGAGACTACCTGGATAAGACATTTGGTGGACACCATTTTGAGATGAAGAATCTCGATTAGGAAGAAGGGAGATCTCTACTTGACTGGAGCTTCCCAATGATATAGTTGAGTGTCCCCAGAAAGAAACTGTAGAACAAGATGTTCATCATGCCATATCTCTATGGAAAAGGAAATTCTTTAAAAGAAAACAAAGGCAAACAATTGATAATCTGATTCTCATGGAAAGTTTTCATTATACAAGAAAAAAAGGGCTGGGTGCCATGGCTCATGCCTGTAATCCCAACACTTTGGGAGACTGAGGTGGGTGGATTGCCTGAGGCCAGAAGTACAAGAACAGCCTGGCCAACATGGCAAACCCCTGTCTCTACTGAAAATACAAAAATTAGCTTGGTGTAGTGGTGTGCAACTGTAGTCCCAGCTACTTGGGAGGCTGAGGCAGGAGAATCACTTGAACCCAGGAGATGGAAGTTGCAGTAAGCCGACGTGACACCACTGCACTCCAGCCTGGATAAGAGACTGTGACTCTATCTCAACAAAAAAGAAAGAAAAAGAAAAAAAGGACAAAGTATAGTGGTCAAAAAAAGAAGAAAGAGAGAGAGAGATATGAAAGAAAGAGAAGGAAGGAAGGAAGGAAGGAAAGAAGAAAGGAAGAAGAAAGAAAGGAAAGAAAGAAAAAGGGAAAGAAAGAAAGAGAAATAAAGGAAGGAAGGAAGGACAAAGTATACTGGTCAATATCCAAAGAAAAAGGAAAAAAAAAAAAGAAAAGAAGGAAAAAGTACAAAGTATACTGGTCAATATCCTAAGGGTGAGACAGCCCCCCTTCAAGATTAGAAAATAATACTATATTCAAAGTAACATCAATAAGAATCAACATAAAATAGACAAGATTCACTATCTACAAAAGTAATCTGCACCAAGTAGCAATGTATGAGTGTGTGGTTGAAAATATTGTCTATAATATGTGTACTAGAAGGAAGAAGCCTCAGTAAAAAGGTCAGAGTTGGAAATATATATTAGGGAATCCAGGTTAACCTTTGGAGATTTTAGGAGTTCTGAGAGAATTTAAAAAGAGGAGTAGCAGCCGGGCATGGTGGCTCATGCCTGTAATCCCAGCACTTTGAGAGACCGAGGTGGGCGGATCATGAGGTCAGGAGTTCAAGACCTGCCTGGCCAACATAGTGAAACCCCATCTCTACTAAAAATGCAAACAATTAACTGGGTGAGGTGGTGGGCATCTGTAATCCCAGCTACTCGGGAGGCTGAGACAGGATAATCACGTGAACCCGAGAGGTGGAGGTTGCAGTGAGTGGAGATCGCGCTGTTGTGGAATCAGGAGGACCAGACACAGACCTTGAGGTGTATACAGGAGGATATCTTTATTGAGTGTATTCAGGTCCAGTGGACTCAACTTTTGACAAACTGGGCCCAGAACAAAGACAGCACTTGACTTTTTTATGCACACTTCAAAAAGAGGGTGGGCTAGCTTGAAGCAGGCTTACAGTTAGAGTGGTGTGAAAGCACGGATAAAGAGCAGAACAATTAATTAAATTGTGACAAGTTCATAACTCAGGACTACACATGACGTTTACCAAGCAACCCAGATGTCTGTTACCTAGGTTTTGCTCTAAAGAGCCATACACTGGTTTATCTCAAGTTTCAGTATACGAAGTGATGAAAAGTAGATCTCTGGATGAGACCATGTGTCATAGAGTCCAATGGAAGGGGAGAAACAGGATAATAGAAAAGCCACAAAAACTAGACAAAAGTTATTATTTGTTTATTATAGAAAAAATAAACTTTGTTTAAAGAGAAATGGTAAAGAGACATGGAAAGACTAAAACCCACAGGTGAATACTTACAGAGGATGACAGTATTTAGCTCAGCCTGAAGATAGATGAGGATCAAAAATGTAATGGGAGCTAGTAAGAGTTTTCTAAAAATCATCTTAATAAGATGTAATTTAACTTGGAATATCTTAAACTATTAATGACAATGTTTCTAGAGCATCTTTAAAAACTAAAATGTAAATATAGCTACCTTTATTTTTTTTTTTTACTAACCCTTAGTATTTTGTGTGTAAAAATTCTCATTTTTAACAAACATTTTTGGCAGTTTAAATTTCAGAAAAGATAATGATGAAAGTGTGAATCATTTTTAGCTGTTTTAAGAAAATGACTATTTTTGAAATCTGTCCTTATTGGCATCAGGTTTATAAAACACACTTTATATACCTGCCTAAATACATATTATTCGTCAACTTATGAGAAATAATATTTTTAAGATAAAAGAGGGGCTCTAGATTTTGCAAAAATAATTGTAAACCCTTTGTTTTCAAGCCTGAAGAAAAACATGAAGAATTCAGAAAACTTTTTGAGTTAATATCATCACTGGACTATAATGGGGATCAAATAAGAAAGAGAAATCATGAATTAGAAGAAGAGACAACTGGGTATGGTTTTCATATTGTAGGACATTTTAACCATTTATTAATTGATTTAACTCTAACTTTACTTGACTAAAACCTAGATACAAATTCATTTTATGTCTGCATTTTCATAATTAAACGAATTGTATTTTAAAATGTATTTCAGAAACTCACAACGCAACTTTATAGGCATGTGAGCAGGAGTCCATGACCCTTGCACTTTTTTGTTGGAATTATTAAAAAATCAAATTTCAGTATAAAAACACACTAACTGATGAAAAATAGATCTCTGGATGAGACCATGTGTCACAGAGTCCAATGGAAGGGAAGAAACGGGTCAGAAGTCAGCTAAGTGCTATGGCGAAGTTGGGATGAAAACATTCATATTAAAAATATGTGAAAAAAAAGAAACAATGCAATCTCAAAATTTTTTTGAATGCCGAAACATTACACTTATTTATTTATTTATTTTTTGAGACAGAGTCGGGCTCTGTCACCCAGGCTGGAGTGCAATGACACGATCTCGGCTCACTGCAACCTCCACCTCCTGGGTTCAAGTGATTCTCTTGCCCGAGCCTCCTGAGTAGCTGTGATTACAGGAGTGCACCACCCTGCCCGGCGAATTTTTATATTTTTAGTAGAGACAGTGTTTCACCATGTTGGTCACGCTGGTCTCGAACTCCTAACCTCATGATCCACCTGCCTCGGCCTCCCAAAGTGAGGCATGAGCCATTGTGCTTGGCAATGTATTCTTTAATGGTTTTGAAAACAATAATGACAATGCTTTGGGCATGTGATGTCAAGTGCGCTCTTCATGACCTAGTTTGAATTTTTATTTCTGAAGATATTTTTGCTGTATTTGGTCATCTTTTCTTCCTTTTACAGTGTTCTTCTCTGCTACATTCAAATTTTTTTAAGACCTATTTGTGTCATTCTTTAACATCAAAATTTATCTTGATATATAGCTTGTATTTGGTTTCTGCTTCTTTCTTTTGCTTTTAGATATAAAACATATCATGGAAATTTACTCATTTTACATGGGTACCTCCATTGTATACATGAAGTATACATCTTATTAAACTTTTGTTTTACAGAAATAAATTATACATATATATGAATATATGTATAACCTAAAGAAAAAGAGTAAAAGAGCATTCATGTTTTGATCACAGATTTAAAAAAAAAAATGGAATGTGTCTTTGAAGCCTTGAACACAGCTAGTTTTCTATTTATTTACTGAGCACTTAAGTTGGTTCTCTGATTCTATTCAACATTTTTCTGTCATTGTCTTTCTCTACATGGTTTTGTATCTCTTTCATTTTGTTGGATTATGTCAGTAAAGATCTCTAGATCTCTTCTTCAAAGTCTTTAAATCATCACATATCTGTCTCCACCTTTCCTTTTTTCTAAAACTGCCTGTTTTCTTTTTCTCCTCAACTCAGATATTAAAGATGTTTCCTTACTTCTCTTTCTCTACATTGAATGACCTTCTTGATGCTTTTTGTGTGTACTTTTTTTTCTTGTTATAGACTGTGGTCAACAGATATCAAAATGTATTTTTGTGTCTTTTTCAAACATGTATGTGTTTTACTTTTTTTTATCTTGGTTACTCATCTCTGGGTTATGGCGTATATTTACTAATAGGTCATTTTATCTTAGCATACCAAAATGGATGTGAATAGTTTATTTATAAAAAACTGTATGGTTAGGCCAGGTGTGGTGGCTCATGCCTGTAATCCCAGCAATTTGGGAGGCCAAGGCAGGTAGATCATTTGAGGTCAGGAGTCCAAAACCAGCCTGACCAAAATGGTGAACCTCATCTCTACTAAAAATACAAAATTAGCCAGAGATGGTGGCACATGCCTGTAATCCCAGCTACTTGGGAGGCTGAGACAAGAGAATCACTTGAACCCAGGAAGCAGAAGTTGCAGTGAGCCGTCATCACGCCATCGCACTTCAGCCTGAGCAACAAGAGTGAAATTCCATCTCAAAAAAAACTGTATGGCTATCGTATCACTTTACCTGCTATGTATGCCATAAAATTGTTGTTCATATTATTTATCTAAGATTATAATTTCATATAGAATATTTTCAAACTATGTTCAGTTGAAACTGAGAGGATCGTAGTTTATAGATTTGTTTCTTTGATATGCCATAACATAATATCTGTTTAAACAATTATTAAATATTTACTCTTACAAATACTTGACTTACTACTTCTGTACATTTCTGCAGATATAAGAAATGCCTAGAAATGACAATAAATATGTTAAATGTATTTGGAAATGAAGACTTCAGTTGCCATGGAGACTTAAATACAGATCAACTGAAAATGGATATTCTGTTTAAGAAGCTAAAACAGAAGGTAATTAAAAATAATTATTTTATCTTAAGGTCTAGATTACATGTGCGAGACGTGCAGGTTTGTTACATAGGTAAACGTGTGCCATGGTGGTTTGCTGCACCTATCAATCCATCACCTATGTATTAAGCCCCGCAGGTGTTAGCTATTAATATTGATGCGCTCCCTCCTGACCCAAACAGGCCCAGGTGTTTGTTGTTCCCCACCCCAAGTGCATGTGTTCTCATCATTCAGCTCCTACTTATAAGTGAGAAGATGAAGTGTTTGGTTTTTTGTTCCTGAGTTAGTTTGCTGAGGATAACAGCTTCGAGTTCATCCATGTCTTGCAAGGAGCATGATCTCATTTGTATGGCTCCATAGTATTCCATGACGTATATATACCACATTTTTTTTATCCTGTCTATCATTGATGGACATCTGGGTTGACTCCATGTCTTTGCTATTGTGAATAGTGCTGCAATGAACATACAAATACATGTATCTTTGTAATAGGATAATTTATATTCCAACATAAGGTAATTTTAAATCAGTTTGGGGATTAAAATTATGTAATTTGGGGAAATATTAATGATGGATAAACCCAAATTCAGCCATAATATGTTTAAGGAGGTTGATTCTGAGCCAATATGGTGACTGTGGCCCTGGATTACTGAATCTCAAGAGCTCTTGAGAATGTTTCATGGGACAGTCAGATTACAGTTTGGTTTTGGTTTTGTACATTTCCAGCAGACAGAAGGTGTAGGGAAAATCATAAATCAATATGAGGAAGGCAGACATTGGCTCAGCCTAAAAGTGGGACATCAAAAAGGAGGGGCTAACAAGTCATAGGTGGGTTTTGGGGATTCTTTAGGTGACAATTGGTAAAGAAAACTGTTGTCTAAAACTGGAAATAGGTAGAAAGGAAGGCCTTAATTAAGATAAGGTGGTTACGGAGGTTAAGGTTCTTATTATGTAGACAAAGCCTCATAGCTGACAGCCCTCAGAGAAAATAGAGGGTAAAAATATCTTTTCAGACTTTAAATGCATCAGGCTCTTAGTTAATCTTCCCTAGATCTGGGAAGACCTAGAAGGGGAGAGATTGGGCTACATTAATGAAGACTTCTTACAGATGCAGTTTCCCCCACAGAAGACAGCTTTGTACGGCCATTTCAATTTCTTGGTCCTGCAATAGCCATTTCAAAATATGTCAAAAATATATATATCTGGGGGTAAAATACTTTGATTTTTCTCAGCTTCTTCTCTCTGTGATGCTGTACCAGAATCACGTTAGAAAGTAAGCCACATCATAAGAGTTAATAAAACCTGTCTGATGAGATTTGATAATTTGAAGGGTGTGATTCCCAGACCCTTTAGATAGAAACTGGGGCAAAAGAATACAAGGTCTTTCTCCTCAATATAAATCTCTCAGTGCTTTAAGCGGTGAAAGATTTTTCATTTAATTTTACAGACTTGATGCTAATAAAAAGGATACTTTAAAAAATATATATATATATGTATTCTATACATCTTATAAGACATGCTGTTGATTCTCTTATGTCTTGAACCCTGGCCAGTGATCTGAAACCAAGCAGCCCATGTCTCCAGATCACTAGTATCAAATAAATTTTGGGGTGCAACAGGTTTATTGAGAAATAATTAACACACTGTGCAATTCACTCATTTAAAATATACAAGTCATTGACTTTTCATATTTTCAGAGAGTTATGCAATCATCATTACAATCAATTTTAGAACATTTTCATCACCTTAAAAACAAACCCCACATCATTTAGAAACCATCTTCTCTAGTTTTCCCTTCCTCCTTCAGCCCTAGGGAACAACCCACCTTCTTTGTATAGATTTGCTTATAAGCCTCTGAAATAAAAAGCAAGTGGTCTACTGTGACTGGCTTATTTCACTCAGCATAATTTTTCATGATGCATCTGTGCTATAGCAGGTATTGATGCAGGGTTTTTGCTCCTTAATTCAGCTAAATCTGGGTTCTTCTCTCATGATCAGGAAAAATTAGGCACGTGGACACATTGAAGGGTGAGGAGGACAGAATTTATTAAGTGAAAGGGAAGCTCTCAGCAAAGAGAAGGGTCCTGCAATCAGATTTCCACCTCACAGTTGAATACCAGGACCAGCACACATGAGCTGAAAAGGCCAGGCTCCTCCTCTGCATAAGGCATGAATTCCTGGTGGCTCCTCCCCAGCCCCCCAGTGCATGTGGGCCTCTGGTCCGCTGCTGGCATGTCCAGGCAAAACCCTGTGCAGGTTCCCTTATCTGCACCAAATGTTTTGTCTGGTGTAGACATTTGTGGGCCTGGTTGGAGATTCTCTGGGGACTGTGCTGTATCTGCCTAGGCATTTTGCTGTCTCCTGCTTCTATCAGTATCAGTACTTAATTTCTTCTTATTGCTGAGTAATATTCCACTGTATGGATATATTAAACATTTTATGTATCCATTCATGAGGTGATGGACCTTTGGGTTCTTTCCACTTCTTGACTTTATTAATAATGCTGCTGTATAAGTTTTTGTGCTTGCATATGTTTTTATTTTTCTGGAGTATATAATTAATGACTGGAATTTCTGGGTCATATGGTAACTTCATGCTTAACCTTTTGAGGAGCTGCCAGTTTTCCAAAGTGACTGCACCACTTTACATTCCCAGCAGCATTGGATAAGGGTTTTAATTTCTTTACATTTTTCCTAACACTTATTTTCTCTTTTTTATTGAACAAAGATTTCATCCTGTGGTGTGAAGTGATACCACAAGTTGGTTGTGATTTACATTTTCCTAATGACTAATTACATTAAGCATCTATTAATGTGCTTATTATCCATCTTTATATCTTCTTTGCAGAAATATCTATTCAAAATCTTTGCCCATTTTTAAAATTGGGTTATTTTATTATTTATGAATTCTATATCCTATATATGTAAGTCCCTTATTAGATATATGCTTTTCAGATACTTTCTTCTGCTCAGTGTCTTACCTTTTCACTTCTTGATACTGTCTTCTCAGGCACAGCAGTTTTCAATTTTGAAGTCCATTGAATCCAGTTTTGCTTTGGAGTCAAGGCTAAGAAAACTGCCAAATGCAGTCACAAAGATTTATACCAATGTTTTTTTCTGAGAGTTTTACAGTTTTAGCTGTTACAGTTAACTGTTTTATTTTGAGTTAATTTTTAGATATGGTATTAGGTGAGAGTCCAACTTTATATATATATTTTTTGCACATGTATACCCAGTTGTTCCAACACCATTTATTGAAAAGACTATTCTTTTCCCATTCTGTTCTTTTGTTAACCTTGTATAAAATCAATTGTAAATGTGCAGGCTTATTTTTAGATTATCAATTCTTAGTTTGTTTATGTCTATTCTTATACTAGGACCAAATCAAATTTAATGAAAAGGTTTTTTTCAATCATGTTGCATATTACCAGTTGTCTTATGTCATAATAAAAATTAAATTTAGTGGAATATCTTTAACTTCACTTTTTGTGTCTCAAAGACGTCTCTGGTCAGCTTATACCTTACTTACTCTAAGACACAATGGCAAGTCAGGCTTACAAGACACACTTTCTTTCTTTTTTTTTCTCCATTTAAACCTTTAGTCTCTTATCCAGTGCCTCCCTCTATAGTTTCGTTTTCAGTAAATTTTGGTCACAGGATCTGCTGACATAGTCTACTGTTTAGTGCATTATGTTTTACTAATTCATTATAATTCATAGAATCATCCGTAGATATTTACCATCCAGGAAGGAGAAGTTTAAGTCTGAGCTGCCAGCTTTCCTCAGTGGAAACCAAGTGAAGTCATCATCTTCCAGTTCGCAGATCCTCTTGCCACGTGGTAGCTGGTTCTCTTGAATAGCACTGTGGCTAATCCTTTTCTTGGTGCAGATCTTGCATTCTCAGAAACCACAGTTTCTGTATTGACCTCCTTTGACTGAAACAGAGATGCACAGCTCTGCTTTCTAGCTTACTAGAGGATTCTTGGAATAAAAAGTTTAACTCATTCCAAGAAAAGTTTTAGGAGCACAGCAGTTAAAAATCAGGTAATATTCAGCAATTTATCAGAGACAAATGGTAGATTGGTATTTTGAATTTCAAAATATCAGAGCCAAGTTGTGTGCTATAGAGAAGCATTGTGGTATAACATAGAGATGGGATTGTCTTAACTTCTCCGTACAAACAAGCTTGGAGTAAGGTAAAGGAGAAATTGCATTTGATGTCTTAACACTCAAACCTCACTATGTTTATTTTACTTCTGTGAAGTCTAAAAATCTTTCCATAATGTTCTCCTTATTTCCTCCTCATTGAGAAAAAGGAAAATGAAAATTGAATACTAGATTGATTAATAAATACTCAAAGCTTCTTCTCTTTTTTGTTTTTTCTTTTTTTTTTTTTAGATGGAGCCCTGCTCTGTCACCCAGGCTGGAGTGCAGTGGCGCAATCTCGGCTCACTGCAAGCTCTGCCTCCCGGGTTTGCGCCATTCTCCTGCCTCAGCCTCCTGAGTAGCTGGGACTACAGGCGCCCGCCACCACGCCCGGCTAATGTTTTGTATTTTTAGTAGAGATGGGGTTTGACCCTGTTAGCCAGGATGGTCTTGATCTCCTGACCTCGTGATCCGCCCGCCTTGGCCTCCCAAGCTGGGATTACAGGCATGAGCCACCGTGCCCGGATCAAAGCTTCTTTTAGAACTTTCGTTAATTGAAATCACATAAATATCTGATTTTGGTTATGTAACCAGGTATTTCTAGTTGTTTTTCAAATCATATGTCTTCTTGCTTCGCAGTCTATAACTTGAGGGGAAATTGTAAGGAGACACCCTTGCCTTATTATCAGAGTTCGTAATTGAAGGGGGTTTTAGGAAAAGTTCCTCCTCAGCAGCTTATGTCTCTCTCCTGGTTATCTGCTGCTTCTCAATAATGTTTGTCATCAATAAATTAATCTCAACATTTATTAGATCCTACTTTAAAGGAGAGTCTTTTCTGCTGTATAAGTTATGTTTCTTGTTGTCTTTTTTTAAAACTTATTTTTCTAACAATTACCCAGAGATTTTTAGCTTAAAAGAAAAACATTTATTTAGTTCATGAACCTGTGGTTTGGAAAAAGCTTGGCCAGGACAGCTTGCCTCTGCTCCCCTCAGCTTCCCTAGGAACAGCTGATCATTTGGGGAAATGGCATCATCTGAAGCTTTGCTCACCCATGCGTTTGATGGTTGATGCTGGCCATTGGCTGGAACCTTGCTTGGGGCAGGCAGCATGAACACTGACACTGGCACTCCCAGGCTGTCTCTGGGGCCTGATCTCTCTCACAATCTGAGGGCTGAGTTTGAAGGGAAAGCAGTCTGAGATAGGGAAGCCACATGGTATCCCTTTTACTACATTCTATTCATTAGAAGGAAGTCAGTAAGGATGGCCCATATTCTATTCTTTTGATGGGATAAATATAGCTTCTCTTTTGTTTTAATTGACATATATATACATAATTTTGGGCTATAGAGTGACATTTTGATACACATATATAGTGCGTAATGATCAAGCCAACTAGCATATTTACTACTTCAACCATTTCTCATTTCTTTGAATTGTGAACATTCAAAATCTTCTAGCTTTTTAAAAATATACAATAAATCATAGTTAACCATATTTGCCTACAATGCCACAGACCACCAGAACTCATTCCTCTTATCTAACTGTAATTCTGTATCCATTAACCAGACTCCCATCCCCTATCTTTATGAGCTTTTTCATTGTTGTTAAGAGACGAGGTCTTGCTAGTGAAGTCTGGTCTCCGGGCAACTGTAGTCACCCAGACTAGAGACAGTGATTTGATCATAGCTCACTGCAGCCTCAAACTCTTGGGCTCATGTGATCCTCCCACCTCAGCCTCCTGAGCAGCTAGGATTGTGGACATGCACCATTGCACTTGTCTGATTTTTCACTTTGTAGAGATGTCTCTCTGTGTTACTCAGCCTGCTCTGGAGCTTTTGGTCTCCAGTGATTCTCCTGCCTTGGTCTTTCAAAGTACTAGGAAATTACAGGCATCAGCCGTGTCACCCAGCCCTCAATTATTCTTTTCTTTTTTTTTTTTGAGATGGAGTTTTGCTCTGTTGCCCGGGCTGGAGTGCAGTGATGCGATCACAGCTCACTGGAAACTCCACCTCCTGGGTTCGCGCCATTCTCCTGCCTCAGCCTCCCGAGTAGCTGGGATTACAGGCGCCCGCCACCACGCCCAGCTAATTTTTTGTATTTTTAGTAGAGACGAGGTTTCACCATGTTAGCCAGGATGGTCTTGATTTCCTGACCTCATGATCCACCTGCCTCAGCCTCCCAAAGTGCTGGGATTACAGGTGTGAGCCACCATGCCCAGCCTCAA